AATGTCTACTTAGACATTTTGAAAAGATTACGATTTTGAAAACTTTAAACTTTAAATTTAAACTTTAAAAAACTGAAACTTTAATTCTACCTCAAAGAAAACAGATATATATTGAAAAGTATTTTTATTTCTTTTTAAAAATTTAAAAATGCTTTTAAACTTACTTCCTCCAATATAATTATATAATGTATATAATATATATGATAAATAAACCTCCACAATTTCCTTGGTTTAACAACTTGATTATGATTAATAAAAACTCTGTAAACATGAATTTTCTAATAACCTAAATAAATTACAGATAGACAAACATAAATAACACAATTAAATCCTAAACCAAAATTCATTCATGCAAGACAAATTATTTTATATTTATTGAAGAGCCAGAAACATATTTTTTTTCAAAGAGCAAAAGTATTAATAATATTAAAGATAAATTTTATTTATATCAAAATTTTCAATAAAATTTAAATTAAGATAAATTTATAACAAAATGTTGTCATCCCAATGACCAAAATTTATTCATGCAAGACAAATTATTTTATTGAAGAGCCAGAAACATATTTTTTTTCAAAGAGCAAAAGTATTAACAATATTAAAGATAAATTTTATTTATATCAAAATTTTCAATAAAAATTAAATTAAGATAAATTTATAACAAAATGTTGTCATGGCTTTTATCCCAATAACCAAACTATGTGAAAGCATGAAACTACCCATAAATATATTTTAACGCTAGACACAATCTAAGAATTAAAGTAATCTATAACACGAAGCTTTAAATTTAAAATTACAATTTAAAAAAGATTACAATAAATTAATTACTTTTAAATTTAAAAAAAATTTTAGATTACCTATAATTTTAAGCTACTAAACATTATCTACTTAATATCAACTTAGACATTTTGAACTCGTACCATGAAAGGTTGAAAGGAAATCTTTAAGAAAGTACGCGGTAAAGAAAAGCCTAGAAACTACTTAAAAAGTGTATTTTACAGATACAGAACTGTACCGTAACTATAAAACAATACGCGTAACTATGCGCACTATTAATAATAATAATAATAATATTCATTCGGCTATTCATTATAGAGATTATGTATACATTACTTATAAAACTTATGTATTAAATCTCAAATTTTTTTTTACTAGCTGAATTTTTGGTATCTTTAAAATAATTGCAAAAATGTCAGTTTTGGTTTAATCGTTGAACTAGAGTACCCTAAATTTTGGTTTTAGCTTTTTTTTCTGTTTTGGTCAATCACTAATGCTAATATAGTGTATCATTGTTGTATATACAAATATAAAAGTTATTAAATTGAAAATGATTGTTTGTTTTAATCAACTTGAAGATGTTCATTTAACATTCACTGTTTATTGGATTAAAGTTCTTTTAAGACTCAGTTATGAGTCCTAAAAAAAAAACTCAGTTATGAGTGCAACTATATTTCATTAAATTTCAAAAGCTTTACAAAAGATTGGCCATTGTTGTTTACCAATCAAATTCTTCACCTCTCAAATGTTTGTATATCCAAAAAGCTTCTATCGTTTCCTAACCTATTTCTTAACTTGCTCCACACAATACCAAAAGTAGAAAATACTCTTTATATGGAGCCACTTCTTGCAGGAGAACTATGAAGAGATTGAAAAAAACTTTGTAAACCCTTCTGGTAGTGGTAAAGAGTTTTGATGCAGTTTTTGCTTCTTATCTGTTATTAACCCACCATCTTTCACTTGAAATTGTAGAAATAAAGTTATCGTTAAACATGTGCTGTGGAAAAGTAGTTATGATTTTTAGCCTGAAATCATAGTAACCAGCCAAGTATTCAGTGCACCTATCGCTTAGCCAAGCTTCTGCAGCAGCTTCTTATTCAATGCTTAAAGATTTTCCTAAAATTAAAGAATATTATATTCCTGTTTTATATATTATAAATGAGAAATGTATATCCTATATGGATATTAATTATTAGTCATATATTGTGTCTGTAGTCTTAAATTGACTAATGTGTTATGCAAGTTAAAAAAATTTAGTTTTAAGTCTGTTCTCTCAATTTTTGGGTTAGATTTGGTGGCCATAAATTGGTATTTAATATCAGTCAAATTTACGAAAAAATGAAAAGATTCCATTGCTTCATCAAATTTTAACCTAATTTCAATATAATATGGCTTTCAATAATAATCAGGTCTTCATCCTTCAGGAGAGACAACCAAATTTCACATGCATCTGACAATCATGTTGAATCACTTTGTAGCTATAAATATAATTTTTTTAAATATCTATACAAATATTTTAACAGTATATTGAAGCCATAGTTTACAATATTTTAATGACTAACAACTTTGTTTTCTATATCTACCTTATCTCACATTTCTCCAGTTGAATTTAAAGATTTTTAGCTTACCTGAAAATTGCAGCATTATCTATAATTTTCCTGGTATTAGTTTAATATCACCTTTATGTTTCTCTATAATATCAAGGTAGTGGTTATAATTTATAATATAAGTCTTTAAACAGTCTGCTTGAGAGTTCCATTGTGTATCATTAGGTAGTTGCGGCATAACTCCATTCCTATCATCCAAAAGCCCTGAAATTAAGAACTAGTTTAATTAGTTGATATAATAATAAAATTCACTGAGTAAAAGAATAAAAAAAAAAATTGAAACTGTAAAATTAAACTAATATATTATAAACAATACTCACACGTGGTTGGAGGTGATTAAGGATTACTCACACGTGGTTGTAGGTGATTAAGGAAGTATTTGTTAACTTCAATAAAATGTGCCAGAAAACTTGGTATGCTTATGCTTCTCAACTAAATTTAAGTAATGAGCTGGTGATTCATATGTAAGTAGCAATGGATATTCGTCTTTAAGAATTTCTTCTTTTTCATTTTGTTCTCATTATCTGTACAAATGGCAAATACCTGTTGGAAGTAGACAAATATTTTAATAGTTTTAGTTAATTTAAATTAAAGTAAGTACTATGATACAGTATTATTATATACTTACATCTTGTTCATAAACCTTCTTGATGTCGTTTTATTGCTTTAATGGCTAATTGAGCACAATATTCTGAAGTTTTTTTTTCACTTCCTGCATCTATAGCTATAGATTAATTATGGGGTCTTTCTGTTATGTACACTGTGTGCAATAGTTTGATCAATTGTGACGCTCCAACCATCTTGTATCAGTGTAATAGTACTTCTATTATTTGCAAATTCACTTTTCATTGATACAATTACTTCATTGTTTACTTAATCCAGTAGCTTTGCTGAAAGTTTCTTCCGGTTTGGAGGATCATAACCAAGTCTCAAAAAATTAATACATTTTTTAAATTCTCTATTTTCTACAGCATTAAATAGAATATTGCAGGCAAAAAAAAATTTGGCAACTTGCAAGTAAAAAACATCTTTTTGTTCTTGATATGTAGTTTTCTATTAACTTTTGTTTTTTATATGGGGTTGGTGATGAACCAGAGTATCTGCTCCCAAAGACACCAGAAGTGCTTGATGCTTTAATAGATTCTGAAGCAACTGGGCTAACAAAATCATACAACAAGTTTACAGATGCCTGAAATAGTACTTGGCCATCTTTTAAAATAAAATTTTTATTTTGTTCTGCAACATCAGCATATGGTTTTTTTTTTTACATTTATTTAAATGAATTCTAATTTTTTCTATTTTTTGACTATTTATAATTTCATTGCAATAATTACACTGGCAATGCAGTATTACTTTTCCAGAAACAGTTTTTGATAACTTAATCGCGTCATTTCATTCACCTACAAGTTTCCTTCCAGATCCAGGAGCCATAATATATATTCTTATTAAATTTTTTTTTTTTTTCGAATAAATTCCATTATGATAATAGAAATAAATGTTAAATAGTTTAAATAAACTAGTTAACTTTTACTTAACATTAAATAAACTTGTTAACTATAAATGTTAACTAGTTTAAATCAGGAAATTCCAAAAAACTTAGCAGTTTAAAAAAAAGTCATAACATAACTACATATACCTAGAATTAAGTGTCTAAGTGCTCCAAAAGTGGTTAGAGACTTAAGATACTTCGGCAATAAAAATAAGAACATTTAGGCTAAATTAACTATAAATTTAGAAATTGAACTTTCCATCCTGGTTTATAGCACATTGTATTTTTAAAAAAGAAATTTAAAAATAAAAAAGGTTTTTGGATATCTAAGAAATGCATTTTTTTTATTTCCTCATAACATTCAGTTTTGAAAAACCCAAAAAACCCCCAAAAAAAACAATTTGGGTTGGGTTTTTACCAACCCTGGAATAAAGTTGTTATATCCATGATGTTTACAAATAGTAATAAGTACTTATATAAAGTAAACACCTATCAAATTCAATAATAATAAAATGTTTTTAATAATAATAGTAGGAGTGAATAAAACTAATAGTGGAGATAAAAGCGATTAAAAGTTATAGTAAATACTATAAAAAGTATATACTTATAAAAATAGTAATAATAACAACAAAAATAATAATAAGAGTAATAACAACAACAGCAATATAACAAAAACATTAATATAAAATAATTTTAACAATATTAACAACTGTTAGAATAATATTTATGATAAAAAGATAGTAATAATAATAATAATGGAGAAGAGAATACTAATGAAAATATTTCAGTTTAAAAAAGATTAAAACTATAGATTAAAAAAAAGATATTAAAATTAGTATTATAACACAATAAAAAGAGAAAAAATATTAGATGAATAAAGGGTTAAAAATCATAAGTTGTAGAAAGGTATAAGATTTATAAAAAAAAAAAACAAATTTATTGGTAACTTGTAAATCAAAAAGTTTCAATACCTAGTAATATTTGATATCATAAATTTTGATATTTGATAAAAATACTTGCATATTATAGTGTTGAACTCTCCAAATTATCAAAATTATAAATTCAAATTTTTGGGTCAACCCAGTTCATGTTTTTGTAATTCTAAAATTATTATTATTTTTATTTTTTAGGTAGACAATATAATTACTACGGATTGCACTTTCATTGGGGTGAAAATGACCAACATGGATCAGAACACTTGTTTAGCAATAAGGCTAATCCATTAGAAGTATATTTTGTTGTTATTGCAATGTTTGTTTTATAAACATAAAAATGTTTATTATTGATCTGAGCAATTTCATGTAAACATGTAAAATTATGTAAATAGAATTTCATGTAACACTTCATGTAAAAGGTGCTGGGAGTCTCTTTCTAAATTTTATCTTATTGTGGCATGTTGTACAAAAATTCTAAAACAACAAATTTGAAATATTACTTTATTGAGATGTAGTTTGCTATATTTTACCTATTTTTCCTATATATATTCTCTGTGTGTTTTCTATATTCTAATTTTATAAATACTTTCCAATATGTTTATCATTAAAACATTGTTGTAAAATAAATTTGATTATTATTAAAGTTGTTATTAAAAAAAAAAAAGACAGATCAAACGCTCATAAAAAAACTGCTAGCACCGACTATTTGTGTTACTACGAAAGTAAGATGGTTTAAAAAGCAAGAATTTCAAACCACTGATAAATGCAAAAAAAGAATAAAAAAAAAAGAAAACATTATTTTGAGCACATAGAAATACAACCTGGATAGATTTGACTAGTAATAGATAATTTTATATTATCTATTGATCCTATCAATAGATAATTTTATATTATCTATTGATAGGATCAGTAGATAATAGCTCCACAATTAGTAATATTGCTTGTTGTTTTTTTAAAAAAGCAGATTCGAACTTTTTTAAAAAAGCAGATTCGAAATTTTTCATAATGCTTTATTTATTATAAATATTTTTAGTTTATTTATTTATAAATTATTTTATTATTTTGTAATTTTTTGTTTCTATTTTGTATTAGGTGCATATTCTTCATTATTTAAATGATTATGGAACCTTTAGCAATTCACTTAACTATGATGATGGAGTACTGGTATGGAGTAACATTTTTCAGGTTTGTGATATTTCATTGTTTTTAGTACATTTTTTAAAAATATATCTAAATAAAGTTTTTAATTATAACTGAAATTTAAAATTGGATAACTATAAAAATTATCTAGTTAGAATTTAAATTATCATATATGTTTTCTTAGTTTTTTTTTGTTTTTTTTTGTTTTGTTATAATTGTTGTTGTTGTCACCATTATTATTATTACTACTACTATTGTTATTATTGCTATTATTATTATTATTATTATTATTATTTGGGGTGCACCAATGCACCAGTATGGGCATCACCCTATATATATATATATATATATATATATATATATATATATATATATATATATATATATATATATATATATATATATATATATATATATATATATATATATATATATATATATATATATATATATATATATATATATATATATATATATATATATATATATATATATATATATATATATATATATATATATATATATATATATTAGGGTGGTTTTTTTTATATGGAAAAAAAAAAATTTTTTTAATTTTTTATTGCACTACCTCTTATTTGGTTTATATAAAGTGTATACTGGAGGTGCAAAAAAAAGCCACACTTAATTTTTTAATTAAAAAACCCACAAAAAATGTCTTTAACTCATATAATAAAATTCAGGACAATTTTTATAGAAACGTATATATTATTATTATTGTGCATTGATAGAGTTGTTGTACAATGAAAAGAAATTAGGATTTGTAAAGTACTTTTGAAGTCTTAGCTGTATAAGTATTTAATTGGCTTTGCTTCTAATGACTTTAGCACATCTAGAAGGTATACTATCTACAAGTCTTTTTAATAAGTCCTTTGGGAAAGCATTCCAATCAGTGAGAAGAGGCTGGAACAGTTCATCTTCATTTGTTGCCCTGCAATCTTGCGGTTTTCTATCCAACATAGACCAAATATTTTCTATTGGATTTGAATCAAGAGCGGTACCATTTTTGATTCCAGATATCTTTTATTTAATTATGTCGTATATTTGGGATCATTATCTTGTTGAAAGATGCAGTTCTTATTATGGGAAAATTCTTCTATACTTGATCCAAAATGATTAACTAAGATTTTGTGATACAAATGCTGGTTCATGGTAACATCAACCCGGTAAAGCTTTCCAACTTTATGTGCACTAAAGCAACCCTAAACATTATTCTTTTTGTCATGTTTAATGGTTTCCTTGCATGTTTGGGGGTTAAACTTTTCCCTAATTAACTTCCAGGAGTAAGATCAACTAAAATATAACTGGATAGCAGATTCTTTTGTTTTTTCTGAAAAAAGTTGAAGCCAAAATTGGCCTCTCAAGATGGCGAAGATTTTAGTTCCTAGCGGTGATGCCTATATTCATTATTTTTTTCTTTATCAAAGTACTAAAGAAAATAATTTAATAAGGTTTGTAAATTTTTTAAAAATAGAAGAAAAAAATTAATTTTATAATTATTAGAGAGAAAAAAAATCTTTTTGAATAATTGAATTTGTTATTAAATGGCATTAGTGAAATTTACAATTTTAGTTTTACGTATAATTTATGCACCTTAGAGTTCTTAGTTACCCAATGCTGTACGTTAGAAGGTTGCATAACAGCATGGTAAACAGCAATCATGTCTACCTACAATATTTATATTCTCTATTTTTTGTAGCAAGATACCAATTTGTACTAATGCTGCATGAACTATTAACTGAGTGTTGTGAATACACAAAAACTTAGGGGTTTCTTCTAGAATTATATTATATTTGAATGCTATTATTGTATAAATTATTTAATTAAAATATTCTCAAGTGTCACTTGTACTGGTAAAAAAAAACCAAGTCTGAAATATAGTTATTTATAACAACTTTTAAAACAAATAAAAAGTAAATAATCATTTCTTATAATTTAAAGGATTATCACTCAATTCAATTGATGATGCAAATGTATGTAAAAATGCAATTGTTTGAAAAAATGTAATAATAAATCTTCAATATAGAAATATTCATAACACCTTTTTGAAATATCTCCTTAACTAAAGTTATATATACCTGCTGTTAAGTATTATAGTTATATGTTATAGTTTGTTGACTTTTATATTAATAAACTGAATGTTGCAGTTAAGCAATTTTAAAAATTTTTATGATCTTGTTTAGTCTAAAATCTGGTTTCACTGGATATTTGGTAGCAATTAAATCTATTTAAGATATATTTCTCGACTGAGTAAAAAAAGAAGGCTCACCGTAAAATTATTTAACATTTAAGCTCAGTCAAAACCATCCAACAAACTCTATATTGGAGCTGTGAGATTTGCAAGAATTTTTAACAGCAATATCAATTGGCAACATTTCACAACCACATTTAAACAACTTTTGATACGAAAACAAAATAACTTTTTAAAAATTCAAGACAGAGGAGGCTTGATTAAACTAACCACATGTGTTATTATCATATGCAAAGAAATTGAAAAGTGTTTTCAAAGATTGCTTGATTCTATAGATGGCTACCTTAAAAAAGAAATAGAAATATAAAATGCAATTTCAAATGCTGTTTTAAGTTCAGTGGATTTCTCTATAACATGCACTAAACTAGCTCCTCCTATGTTTGACTCAGCTTTAAGTGATAACAATTTATTTTCCTTGGTTCAGCTCATTTCAGAAAACTATGCAAAAATACACCTTTATAACCTTGGATAAAAACAAACTGCTAAATTAACTAGAAAAAAGCTTCGAAAGCAATTGAGAAAACTTCTTTTATTTAAAAATCAATAATGCCTTTTTATTAACGACTTAAAAACAACTATATATATATATATATATATATATATATATATATATATATATATATATATATATATATATATATATATATATATATATACTTATAAAATCTTTTTCTAACTTTACCCCATTTCCCTTGCCCCCATGTTACCCCCACTATATACATTTATACACTTATTGTCACCCTAATAAGTAAAACTGATGCGTTTAACACTGGCAATAGTTTGTTTTAATACACTTCAGAAATTAATTATTTTAAAAAAAATTGGTCTCAAAAGGGCTTAAGAAACTGGTCCGCGTCCTGGCGCTCTAAGGGTGGGATGTGGGAATAATTCACTGCTATATGCATTTGTTTTATTGTTATCACCCTAATAAGTAAAACTGATGCATGTAACACTGGCACAAGCTGATTTTAATAGATTTCAGTAATATATCATTTTAGACAAAAACAGGTCTCAAAAGAGCTTAAAAAACAGGTCCGGGAACTGGGTGGAGTCTGTGAATAAGTCATTGCTAAATACATTCTTATAATTTTTATATCTTTAATAAGAAAAACTGATGCATGTAACACTGACACTAATTTTAATTCATTTTTAGAAATGTGTTTTTTTTTAAACAAAAACAGGGTTCTAAAGGGTTACAAAGCAGGTGTGGGGGACCACTTCCCATCATCAGTTTGCAAAAAAAATTATCTGTGAACTTTTTTAATTTCACCTCACCAAATAAAAGGGTGTGTGATATCAAATTCAAACAAAAAAAAAACAATAAACAACTACCCTTATTTGCTCTTGGAATTAGGGTTGGGTTTCAGCAATATGACCTGACTCTAAATTAAATAATACAAACAAAAAAAAATCAAACTATTAGAAAAAGCAATACTTTATTTTAATTCTAAAATAACAAAAATTAAAAATGACCTTAAAAAGGTTTTATTTTAACTCTAAATACAAAACTTTTATCTAATTTGTAAACAGTTAAAATAGAATAAAAACGTCTTAATAAATTTCTAAACGAAATAGTTAAAATAAAAAGTGCAAAGAAAACATTTTATTTAAATTCAAAATTAGATAAAAATGGACAAAAAAGGAACATTTTTGTGATGCTTAAAAAATGAGTCGGTAAACACACCGTTTGTTTTTCTTTAAACTTTACTTGTGCTTGTTGGTTTGACAAACCTTTAATGTAATTTGGAAGGCTGATGTATATATATATATATATATATATATATATATATATATATATATATATATATATATATATATATATATATATATATATATATATATATATATATATATATATATATATATATGTATATATATATATATATATATATATTTTACATATATATATATATACATACATATACATATATATATATATATATATATATATATATATATATATATATATATATATATATTTTACATATATATATATATATATATACATACATATATATATATATATATATATATATATATATATATATATATATATATATATATATATATATATATATATTTATTTTCGATTTAAATCGAAACCAGTGTTTTGTGAGTGTTTTAAATTTAAAACTATTTATATTCGGAACTTAAAAATAAAATATTTATATATCTAATAGAATAAGCAAGATACAGATCTTGTGTGACAATTTTATTTCGGATAATAGTTCTAAATTGAATTAAAAAGCAACAAAACCATGGTGACAGTTGTAATACTTGTTAGATGTTCTGCATGTACTTCTTTGTATCTTTCTTGGATACTTGCTGTCTGTTTTTATGGACAACCTAGAAAATAATAAATAAAATTAAAAAGGCAGGTTATTTTGTAAAATAATTAAATAATCCAAGCAATAAAGTTCCTATTATTTAAAAATAATTGTTTAGTTTATTAAATAAAATAATATGGAAATGTTTATGTTTATGTTTATGTTTTTTATGTTTTTTTATGTATGTTTGTGTTCTGTCTAAACCTCTGGCGCGGTGTTCGCTCACCCGTAAGTTACTTTATGTTTTTTATGTATGTTTGTGTTCTGTCTAAACCTCTGGTGCGGTGTCGACTCACCCGTAAGTTGATTTATGTTTGTTTGTGTTCTGTTTATACTCTAATGCTGCGTGAGCTCAGTAACTAACTACTTACTCCAACTACAAAACCTACACTCACCTTAGACTTCTGTATTTTGTTAGATGCAGTGTTTTTCCTAATGCACTTCTAAAA